AGTGTTTATGCTTTAGCATCCTTGCATGTGTGTGAGTGACTTCCATGACAGCATGCTTGCCATGAGGCTATTTGCTTATGTGATATAACTGCCTGAATGCTTGTGGATGAAGGTTGGATTACTTGAATTGGAACAATTCATCGAAATGCGAGTTTTAAGCCCACTTGAGAGTGGTAAAATCATGTTTTCTAAGCCCACTTGAGGGTGGCAAATCCACGTCTTAGCCTAATTGTGAGTAGCACCTTCAAACCATTTTCAAACAAACATACGATGTTTTGTTCCAACTTAGGCGATCCAGTCTATACTTGTGTGTTGTGCGCATCACATAGTAATTCTAGGCTAATAATAGAATAAGAATACATGTGTTTTCAAAAACAAGATATCATGTTAGTAAAGGCCGATTTTTGATCGGGCGAGCGGGGGTGCTCATTGCATGACCTTCCCCTCTCGTACCCAAGTTCCCGAGCCGAGGCAACTTTGGTGATGACGGACACGTGGCCTTAGGCAACAAGTCAGGGTTTCCTAAATTTTTCCAAAATAAAACATTTAGGTGGCGACTTTGTATCTGGCAAAGCAATCCATGTTTGGCACTTCTTTATAAAAATTAATTTTCCAAAACGATTCGCCGGATTTGGACTCTTTGGTGATTTATCGATTTTGCATTGCACTTTGCGAGATTAGATTCAGAACCATGACATTTGAGTTCGAACTGTAGTAAGCCCAAATGAACAAAACGGGATTTTTCGTGCCAATCTCACGCGTGGAGCCCGGGAAGTTCAGGCACGCCTAGACAGGGCATGCCCCTACACAACAAATACAACCTTAATTCAATAAGGCTTGTGCTATTTATGTGAACGCTTCTCATGACTTGAGTGATTTCCCTTTAACACCAATTTTTGGAGATAGTCGAAGAGCATGTGAGTACGACTCAAGGATTCTCCAAACCGGGTAATGATCCATATTCCAATACGTACAACTCAGGATAGAGAAATCACCATAATCTTTCATGGAGACACTCATCACAAGGCACTTTTTACACTCCTCCACCACCAAGGCAAAATTTTAATAATTTGGCCAATCAATCTTCATACGACACAGAACAACCTTACTAGCAACTACCACTACTAAAAATCAGACCTTTTGTGACCGTCTCAAACATCTCAAAAGCTTCACTTGTCATTGAAAAGGACTTTCTTTTTTATGAAGTAGCAATGGGAAACGGAGGGTGGCGGAAGGGGGCGTGACAGAAGGTATTTGCGACGGTTACAAATCGTCGGTTTCTTATAGTGACAGTAAATTAATGATTTTTTGTGACTTTTTAACCTGACACAAGAAAAGGGGAAAACATCACTTTTAGTGACGATTTAGGATGCTGTCACCAAAAACTTTTTTAGAAAGAGCAATTGACGTCGCGAAAAGTTAGTATTAGCGACGGTCTTAAACATTGCAAACAAATAAGATTAAATCAATAATGTATTCGTGACAATTTGAACTGTTGCTAAAGATGACACTAATATGTATATACGACAGGTTAACCCGTCGCTAATAAAATGTAAGGAAATGATGACTACATTAGTGACGATTTATTACTATCACAAAATAATTATTTTCATAAAATACATATATATTTTATTAATTCATTACATGTACAAATTATTAATATTTTCTAAAATAAAATTCATCCACATTCACATACATCCACATTCAAAAAATAATATATATGAATAATAATATATGTGGGCACTGTACTAATATATACTAAATAAATAAAATTGTAACATAAGCATGAATCAAGCGCCACACAATATATCTTCTAAAAGCTTCTCTAACTATTCTTAAACCTCTGGATAGTGTTTCCAAAATAGCATTCGATTTCGAGTATTGTCTTTTCCTACAAGTCATTTGTGGCTAGTTAGTCATGTGTGTCAAGTTTCATTAACATGCAATGCCATTTGAGCATTTTATTATGTCAACCGGTTCGGAAAAAGAGTTACTTAAGAACAAGTTTTCACAAATAGAAATTAGGCTCCAGATTCAAAACAAGGAATTGGTTTCGAGTCCCGTCTTTTCCTACAAGTCATTTGTGCCTAGTTAGTCATATGTGTCAAGTTTCGTTGACATCCGACATCGTTTGAGCATTTGTATGTCAACCGGTTTAGAAAAAGAGTTTATTAAGGATAAGTTTTCACAAATGAAAATTAGACTCCATATTCAAAGTCGAGTATTGATTCTGAGTCCTGTCTTTTCGTACAAGTCATTTGTGCCTAGTTTGTCGTGTGTGTCAAGTTTGTTGATATCGGACGCCGTTTGACCATTTTAGTGTGTCAACCAATTAGGAAAAAAAGTTTCTTAAAGACAAGTTTTCACGAACAGAAATTAGGCTTTAGATTCAAAACTGAGAATCGGTTTTAAGTCCTGTCTTTTCTACTTTCTTTCCCCTCTTTCTACTCTTTTTCCTTTTTATTAATAATATTCTCTTTGTTGATGAAGGGAAAAAAAATAAATCTATTTATTGAAAATTATAGGAATATAGCCCCTAATCCCAGACACCATTGTACCTATGATGATTTGACAAATATGCTTCACGGACGCAAGTGTCTATTGCATTTGGCCACACCTTAAAAAACCTTTGTAGGTGTCGTTATAATTTTAGAAAGCTAATTTGGGTTAATAAAATATATAGAAACAAAGAAGGGGAAAAGGAAGAAAACAAAAATACACCCACAAACATTGATGCAGTTTGTCTCTATAACCTATATTTATATATTATATACATAACAAATAAAAATATATAGAAAATATTTTGTTTGACGTATTCCCGTTATGTTCATATCTTTTTTTTTTTTTTTTCAAAATTACTATGTCATGAGTTGGTGTCTGTGTTTTTTAGGCTATTACATTCTTTTTTCGTCTGTAATATCAAAGATTTAGAACCTAGTATTTGATCGTAGTGGTGTGCAATGGTGGTGTAACACACTCTAGCTTGCTTTTCGTGCTCCTTTCGGATCCTATTAGCCCTACAGTTCGGACTCCCGTGGTTCTGAATCTAATTTCACAAGTGCAATGTGAAATAGATAAACACAAATGAGTCCAAATACGACAAATATTTTGGAAAATCGATTTTAAATCAAATGCCAAAATGGACTGCTTCGCAGATTTCAGAGTCACCACCTAAATATTTTTTGGAAATTTAGGAAACCTGGGACTTGTGCCAATGGCCATTAGTTCGTCATCACCAAAGTGTCTTGGCTTGGGAACTTAGGTATGAGAGGGAAATGTCATGAATTGACCACCCCACTCGCTCGATCAAAGATTGGCCTCTACTAATCATGATGTGATTTTTATTTATATTATATGCTCTTGTTCCAAATATTAGGCAAATTTACTATGTATTGCATACAAGTATAGACTAATTTGAAAAAATTGGAACTCTTTGATCTTATGTTTGTTTTGAAAATTGTTTTGAATATGTACCACTCGAAAAAGTGACCTCATATGTACGTTAATCAAATCATCCCAGTTTGAGCAATTAGCCTTCATTCATAAGAATTCAAATAAGTATATCACTTAAGCACTTAGCCTCGTAGAAAATATGCTTGATATGGCAACAATTGCCCACACGTGATATGCTAAAGCAATAAATGCTCACCTAGTATTCCAAGGCAAGTCAAAAGAAACAAAATAATTAGAAAAATGCCTGTTTTAATATGCAAGTAACTAGTGCAACACATACAAAAATGCAACTAATAGGTTTGGTTTTCTACTATGTCATGTGAATCACTTTGATAGCATGCGGCGGCACATGTATTCAAAGAAGTAATAAATGACAATGCCGTTAGAATGATGAACCGAACCCTATGTATGCGAGACAAACACATGCAAATCATGGAAAATGCTAAAAGACACATGATGCTCTATGTTATCCATCGTAAGCAAGTAAATAATAGGGAGAAAGAAATGGGAATTGGAAGATATATACATTATTACATATTTGCCCTCGCACAAGAGAGTCTGAATAAATGTCCTAGCTAATTACTATGAATTAACTAGCTATTACAAAACAAATGAAATAAATTAACTAAATTAGCTAATTATTACAATACAAAAATAAATTGATATCTAGTTAATCTAATGAATTAATTACAAAGAAAAATGAACTAACTACTTTAACTAATTAATCACTTTACAACATGAATTAACTAACTATGGGAGCCGAATATCAAAGGATGGAAAGAGGCCGAATACACACTTGGCAAATTAGGATATATATTATATTCGGCCCCGTCTTGTACGACCCAGATGCTGAATATCCTAATCGGCCATAGAACCAGTTGAGCGAGGAGCCGAGTGGGAAATGGTATACGACAGAAGGAGCTGAGTGAACAATCACACGATGCATTAAGAGTGGGCCTGATCCTAACGCCCGAAAGTGAATATAAATAGAGGAACATCAGCCAATGAAAGGGATGCGAGAGAAAACCCCAAGAAACTTAAGACATAAGAAAACGTGAGGCATATACTAACTTGTCTATCAGAGTGCTAATTTTGGAACCCCCGACCAGAGTGTTAACCCCCTTTCAGGTGGCAATCAGAGGATCAGGAACGTCCTTTAGGATCCAAGAGTATTTCCAAACCATATCACCACAATTGGCGCCGCCTGTGGGAATACTAAAGTACATCCATGGCGAGCCTAACGGAAGATCCTTCGATAGTCGCTGACGAAACTACACCAAGAGACGATCTCACTCCAAGAAACATGCTGAGACCGGAGAATATCACTGCGCGATGTGCCTTGAACTTTCACTCAGTAGCTTAGACCTCACCCTCAACTTCAATGCTTGAGACAATGCAGACGATTATGGATCAGGCAAAGCAAAGTGAACAGCAGCTGGAGAACGTGATAGCTGAGAATGAGCGCCTGCGCTAGGATTTGGCCTTGGGGGTGGCGAAATCCCAACAAGGCGCATACCAAGACCGAGGTCAACTTTCAGGAAAAAAGGATGGTCGCCGACGTCGACTTCAAAAATGTATCTAGCTCATCTGAAGGAAGTCAATATGTACGACATAAACGAGGGAGAAGCGATGATTCAGATGAGAAAGATAAACACGACCCATTCGTGCGACGAATTGCCAGGGCTGTGCTACCCAAGAAGTTTAAGGCACCGTCGTTCACCCTCTACGACGAAAAATTAGACCCCACTAATCACATTCATCATTACAAGCAAGCGATAACGCTCCATGCTGACGACGAAGCCCTCATGTGTCGGATATTTCCAAGCAGTCTAGGACCATTGGCCGTGAGGTGGTACTATAAATTGGAGTCGGCATCAATTAAGAGCCTCCACAAACTCCAAAAGTCATTCAGGGTGAGATTCATCACTAATGAGGTCCAGCTGAAGCAAGTCGACTCTCTCTGTGCCATGCAAATTAAACTGGAAAAAACTCTTCGTGAATACTTGGCCCGCTATTGGGAATGCTTTAATCCGGTTGATGACACTTGCAATGATTTCATGGCCGTTACCGCCTTTAAGATGGGATTGCATCCTAATAGCCCCCTCCTCAGTTCACTGACCAGGCGTCTCCCCAAAATCGTCTGGGCATTAATAAAGAAGGTTGAAGAATACTACAAAGTGGAAGACGATGCCCCTCGGGTCAAAGTCAGATGTAAAGCCGTTAAGACGGCCACGTTGGGAGTCATTCAACCAATTAGCACCGTGCCTCCAAGAAGCCCCGAGCGGCAAAATTGACCCAAATGAGAGAAAAGGCATGATTCGTGCCGATCAACCGACCAATGTTGACAACAAGCTAATGAACAATACCAAGTGGATAACAGGCACACAAGGCATTCAAGTAAGAAATACACAGAGCTGACAGAGCCAATCAATAAGATTCTGTTGAAAGTACAACACCTTCCGTACTTCAAGTGGCCTCCCAAATGACGGGACCTCCTAATGCGAGAAGACAGGATAAACGGTGTCAGTATCATAGAGACCATGGTCATGACACTGATAGTTGTTATTCATTTAAAGATCACCTTAAAGAGTTGGTGCAAGACAACCATCTTACGTAATATGTCCGAAAGAACAATTCAACAAATACTGTAGCCCTACGACCTGAGTCGCCTCCTATTGGCGTAATTCATATGATATACAGCTTGCTGGCGCCACCTGAGGTGTACACAATCCAGTTGCCGTCTAGCACCCATAGCCCTTTGACACCAGCAAAAAGCTACACGACACCGGAAGGATCAGCTTCGATGACAGTGATTTAGTTGGAGTGACCCACCCCCACGCTGATCCCCTCGTCATCGAGCTATATGTAAACAGATTCACCATTGAGCGTGTTCTCGTTGACCAGGGTAGCACTTCAGAGATAATGTCTTATAAAACTTTTGTCAAACTTGGTTTCATCGATTCGGACTTGTCTTCCGCTGCTTACCCTTTATTCGGCTTCAATGCTAACCTAGAGTATCATTTGGAAAGGATCACACTGCCAATACAGGCCGGCACCTGATCAGTAGACGTAGAATTTCTAGTGGTGAAGCTTCCTTCGCTGTATAATCTGATCATGGGAAGAACTTGGTTACATACGATGCAAGCCGTGCCAAGCACCTACCACCAACTACTCTATTTTTCGACTAAATACGGTGTCGAACAAATTCGCGTCTCTCATAAATCAGCGCATGCACGTTATCTTCTAACTACAAAGAAACCAGAGGAACTAGAAGTGCATTCAATTGAGGTACCGGATAGGGAGAGCCTCGAAGATATTGGGAGGATCCCTAATGATAAAGCAACCGAAGCCCTGCATCGGGTCAAAATTGACAGAAATCCTGACAAGTTCTTCATGATCAACACTTCCTTAGATAAAGTTGAAAGGCAGGAGTTGGTAGCTTTCTTACTCGGCAATATTGATGTATTTGTATGGTCACCATACGAGATCCCAGGATTAAACCCATCAGTGGCCCAAACACCGCTTGAACGTCGATCTGAAATGCAAGCAAATTATTCAGAGAAGTCAATGGTCAGCCGTAGAGCATACTTCGGCCGTCGTTGAGGAAGTAGATCGGTTACTTGCCGTCGGAGCAGTCACGAAGTAACTTATCCTACGTGGTTTTCCAATACTATGGTTGTAAAGAAGAAGAATGGCTCTTAGCGTGTCTGTGTGGATTTTACAGACTTGAACAAAGCTTGTCCCAAGGACTGTTTCCCCCTGCCCAGAATAGACCAACTCGTAGATACAACGACACATCATCAACGCATGAGTTTCCTGGATGCCTACAGAGGCTATTATCAAATTGCCATGCATTCGGAGGATAAAGAAAAAACCGCATTCCTCACCCCAAGAGGAACCTATTGCTACAAGGTCATGCCTTTTGGCCTGAAGAATGCATGGGCAACTTATCAAAGACTAGTGACCTCCATGTTCAAGGAACAACTCGGCTGTACCATGAAAGTATACATCGACGATATGGTGGTCAAATCCAAGGAAAAGTACTCCAATCTAGCCGATTTGTCAGAAACATTCGGCATCCTTCGAAAATACAAGATGAAATTGAACGCATCAAATTGTGCATTCGGCATCGGGTTCGGCAAATTCTTTGGCTACATCATTAATCACCGCGGAATCAAAGCGAATCCGAGGGAAATCACAGTAATTCTAGAGCTTGGGTCCCCTTAGTCTGTCAAAGAGTTTCAGAAGCTAATGGGGATGGCCGTCGCGCTTAACAAGTTCATCAGCCGCTCCACAGATCGTTGCTGACAATTCTTCCACATACTTCAACAAGGCAGAGCATTTGATTGGACTCCCGAGTGCCAGGCCGCTTTGGACGGCCTGAAGTCTTATCTCTAATCAGTACCACTCTTGGCAACACCTGCGGCCAACGATCCACTCATTTTGTATCTGGTAGTATCTGACCGGGCGGTCAGCGTCGTACTGTTAAGGGAAAAACTTGGGGAGTAGCGACCAGTTTACTATGTGAGCAAAGCTATGATTGACGCTGATACATGTTACCTTCCATTAGAAAAGCTTATCCTTGCTCTTGTCATGCCTGCAACAAAACTGATGCATTACTTTCAGGGCCATACCATTCGAGTACCAACAGAATATCCTCTCCGGTCAGCGCTCCGCAGCGCGGAAACGTCGGGGCACGTTTCGAAATGGGCTCTTGAACTTGGCCAGTATGATATCCAATTTCTACCTTGAACTTCCATCAAGGGGCAAGTGCTTGCCGACTTTGTAGCCGAATTCACAGGATCCCTCGTCGACTTTAAGTTTGATCAAGTGCAAACTAAGCCCACCTGAGAATGTATATGGGCGACGTTTGGCAGATGTATTGCGATGTGTCATCCAACCAACGTGGCAGTGGGGTTGGCATAGTAATCATGACCCCCGAAGGGGCAATAATCGAACAGGCCATCAAGTTGGGATTCGATGCATCGAACAATGAGGCCGAATACGAAGCACTGTTGATCGGTCTGCAAAATGCACTTCAGCTCGGTGCGCGGCGTCTACTTGTTTTCTGTGACTCAAAGCTAGCAATCAACCAGTTGAAAGGGGCATATGCAACCAAAAATGATCGCATGGCAGCCTATATGAAAACGGAGAATTCTTTGCTCGCAAAATTTTATCACCACGAACTGAATCAAATAGCCTAGGATGAGAACACGCATGCAGACGCCCTGGCTTACTTAGCCTCTGCTATCAACTCAGAAATTAAGCGGACAATCGAAATCGGGTTCGTCCTCAAGCCGAGCATAGCCTCTTCAGAATCAGTTCAGGTCAATGTTATCGAACCGAGTTTGAGTTGGATGGACCCTATTGCTACATTCCTATCTTCAGAACAGGTCCCGATGGATAAGAAAGAATTACACAGACTACGAAATCGAGCCCTCCGATAATATTTGGATCCGCAGGGAAAGCTTTACAAAAAGTCTATCTCTGGGCTGTACTTAGAGTGTGTTCACTCGGATAAAGTCAAGCAACTTTTTTCTGAATTGCATGAAGGTAGTTGTGGTGCCCATTCGGGCGGACGTTCTACGGCTCATCGCGCCATATCGCAGGGGTACTATTGGCTGACCATGCGAACCGATGCTAAGAGTTATGTCAAGAAGTGTGGTCAATGCTGGAAGTTTTCCCCCTTAACTCATCTGCTAGCCAAGGAATTAAATTCTATCACTAGTCCTTGGCCGTTCGCTTAATAGGGGCTTGATATCATTGGACCATTACCACGAGTCCCAGGCAACAGGTGATTCCTAATTGTTGCGACGGATTATTTCACAAAATGGGTCGAGGTAGAGGCACTATCACATATTCGAGATTCTGACGTTAAGCGTGCTGTATGGAAAAACATCATAACAAGATTCGGCATACCACGAGTACTTGTTTTCAACAACGGTAACCAGTTTGACTGTGGTGTGTATCGAGAATTGTGCAACGCTTATGGTATCCGGCCCTACTTTTTCTCACCGACTTACCCCCAAAACAATGGTCAAGCAGAGGCCACCAATAAGGTTATTTTGGACGGCATCAAGAAGAGGTTGGAAAAAGCTAAAGGTAGATGGGTTGAAGAGTTGCGTAGTCTGCTGCGGGCCCATTGCACTACTCTGAGGCGATCCACTAGGGAAACGCCATTTGCTCTATGCTTCGGAACCTAGGCAATCATTGCCCTGGAGATCTACCTGCCCACCTTGAAATCAAAGGTTTTTGACATGGGCCGAAATGATATGATGTTGGCCTTGGACTTAACTCTGATTGAAGAACGCCGAGACCGAGCCCTTGCATCCATGGCATGGTATCAGATTCACTCAATCGTATCGGCTCAAAGACGTGGATGGAAGAAGCCTGCCACGGCCGTGGAAGTCCACACACTTGCGCAAATTTTATCATTAAGTCAGCTTGTATGGCACGATAACTTGTTTTGATTTTACACCGTGTATATCTTTCCTTTTTTAATACAATGTTCTCTTGCCCAGTGCGTTGTGGTTGTTAACTTAAGGTGGTTTCAAAAGCCTCCGAATTCGAATCGCCCTTTGTGAATGACACATTTGGGCCCAATAAGTCTCTGAATTTAGAGCGCCTTACGTGAATGACATTTGGGCCAACACAAAAAAGCCTTCAAATTCGGAGCGCCCTTCGTGAATGACATGTTTGGGCCGAATAAGTCTCTGAATTCAGAGCCCCCTATGTGAATGACATTTGGGCTGAATAAGCCTCCGAATTCGGAGCGCCTTTTTGCGAATGATGTTTGGGTCGACACAAAGAAGCCTTCGAATTCGGAGCGCCCTTTTGCGAATGATGTTTGGGCCGACACAAAAAAGCCTTCGAATTCGGAGCGCCCTTCCGCGAATAACGTTCAAAATGACGTTTGGGCCAACACAAAGAAGCCTCCGAATTTGGAGCGCCCTTTTGCGAATGACGTTTGGGCCAACACAAAGAACCCTCCGAATTCAGAGCGCCTTACATGAATGACACATTTGGGCTGAATTAGTCTCCGAATTTGGAGTGCCCTTTCGCAAATGACGTTTGGGCCGAATAAGCCTCCGAATTCAGAGCGCCCTACATGAATGACATTTGGGCCGAATAAGCCTCCGAATTCGGAGTGCCCTTTTGCGAATGACGTTTGGGCTAACACAAAGAAGCCTCCGAATTCGGAGCGCCTTACATGAATGACACGTTTGGGCCGAATAAGTCTTCGAATTTGAAACGCCCTATGGGAATGACGCTTGGGCCGAATAAGTCTCCGAAT